CTCCTGACCTCAAGTGATCCACCTGCCTTGGCCTCTCAAAGTGCTAGGATTACAGATGTGAGCCACCGAGCCCCACCAAGTTCACTTATCTTATATGGACGTGAGTTGTGGCACCCCAAAACGATTACAATAGTAACACCAGAGATCATTAATCACAGATTACCATACCAGATAATAAAAATGAAAAAGTTTGAAATATTGCAAGAATTACCAAATTACCAAAATGTGACAGGGAGACACAAAGTGAGCACGTGCTGTTAGAAAAATGGTACCAATAGACTTGCCACAAACTTTGTTTGTTTAAAAAAAAAAGCAGTATCTGTGAAATGCACTAAAGCAAAGTCAAAGTGCACTAAAAAGAGGTGCACCTGTGGAATGAAAAATAAAGTGATAATATCAAATTCTAGTTAAGCTTTCTTTTCTTCCCTGCCCAAGGCTCAGAGCCTGTGATTCCTTTCCCTTTGCTAATAAAGGAGATGAACAACTTTCTTTTTTTTTTTTAGACAGAGTTGTGCTCTGCCTCCCAGGCTGGACTGCCATGGCACAATCTGAGCTCACTACAAACTTTGCCTCCTGGGTTCCAGCAATTCTCCTGCCTCAGCCTCCCGAGTAGCTGGGAGGGACCACAGGCACCTGCCACTACACCCAGCTAATTTTTGTATTTTTAGCGGAGACAGGGTTTCACCATGTTGGCCAGGCTGGTTTCAAACTCCTGACCTAAGTGATCTGCCCGCCTTGGCCTCTCAAAGTGCCAGGATTACAGGTGTGAGCCACCACTCTGGGCCAAGAGTTGTTATAGAGGCACCAAAGACTAGGACCAAAATGAAACTTTCTCCTTGTTACAACCAGAATTGAAAGGGAGTTGAAAAGGGAATAATTTTCTCACTTCTGACTCAGTATTATTTGAATCAGCATCCACACGCCTCCTAAAGTGTTCTTAAATACCAGCAGTGCTGCCTATTTCCCACTTTGGAAAATTTTCCCCATACCATAATGAGTGTCTGATTTTTAAATCTGTTGACAAGAGAAGGCCAAAACTGGAACGTGAGAGAGACTCAGTTTGGATAGAGGAAGACAACTTCATTTTTTGTAAGTATATCAGCCCTCAAGATATATAAAAGTTTTTTTTAAATTTCAGTCCAGTAATAGGTGAGTCAAATGAAAAGTGAGAATACTGGAGATCAGGGCATCTCCTTTCCTAGACAGTATTAAGAATATGCACTTGCTGGGTGCAGTGGCTCACGCCTGTAATCCTTGAGAGACCAGGGCAGGAGGATCACTTGAGCCCAGGAGTTTGAGACCAGCCTGGGCAACATAGTGAGACCTCATCTCTACTAAAAATACAAAAACATTAGCTGGGCATGGTGGTGTGTACCTGTAGGGAGGCTGAGGCAGGAAGATTGCTTGTGCCCGGAGGTCAAGGCTGCAGTGAGCTGAGCTTGTACCACTGCACTCCAACCTGGGCAAGAGAGAAATAACCTGTTTAAAGAAAAAAAAAGGCCACGTATGTGCAGTGGGATACGCTCTTCAGAGAGATAGGACCTTGGAGGTCATTTAATGCAGAATCTCTCCTCAGCATTCTAATCCCCACAACTACCTGCAGGGCATGTGCTTCAAGACTTTGAGCACTTACCTGAAACCACAGATAGTACCATGTCATACATACACTCCTTTTTCCTATGCATACACATCTAGGGTAAAGTTTAATTTATAAAATTAAGCACAGGAAGAAGTAAACATTAATAATAATAAAATAGAACAATTATGATAAATGCCATTATCACTACTCTTGCACTTTGGGGCTATTAATAAGTAAAATAAGGGTATGTGAACACAAGCACTGCAATGCCACAGTAGTTATCTGATAATCAAGACTGCTACTGACTAGTGAGCAGGTAGCATAGACAGCATGAAGATACAAGATGTCTCAAGCTACTCAAAATGACATGCAATTTAAAATCAATGAGTTGCTTATTTCTGGAATTTTCCATTTAATATTTTCAGATTGCAGTTAATGACAAGTAACTGAAACCCAAAAAACAAAACCATGGATGGGGTGAGGATACTGCACACATTCAGAGGCGTGAGCATGCATGTGCGCATGCGCGCACGCACCCACCGCCCCCCCCCCCCACACATACACACACAAAATCTTATGCCATGTTCCCCACATGACCAACTGTCATGGGATCCTTGAGGTGTCACTTTTCCATCTGGAAACCTCTGTGGCTGGTGGTGCCTTTGCCTGAGTTTTGCTCATTCCACCCACTCTACCAGGCAGGCTGCACTCAGCTTGTGCTACTGGCCTGGATCCCACACCTGCCAAGAGCAAGCCAGGAGTGGAGCAGTGCAGGGGGAAGTGTGTGAACAAGCTGGGGGTCTAGCCACTGTGCACAATCAGGTGTGCCAGCTGTGGCGGGGCAGGCACTCCAGGTGCTGACAGGCCACGGCTCTGTGCAAGGCTTCAGCAGGACCACAAATGGCTTCCCCTGCAGGCACTGGGGAATGCAGTGGTGCCTGAGAGCTTGGAATGCCAGGAATCACAGGGCCCCAAAGAGAATGTCACAGTCATGGCTCGAGGAGCCCCTAGGTCGGGGCTTCCTGAAGGGTCACAGCTCTTTCTTTCTCATCACCCACAACGTGGTGAGTGGAGGGTTTGTTTCAGTTCTGTTCATGCTACAGCTCTTTCAGTCCTGCCATTTGGTGGATATAGAGTTTTTGCCCCATGTCCAGGAAGAATGAGGTATGTGGACAACTTGTGGGTGAGCGAGGCAGAGAGGAGTTTCATTGAGCAAAAGAACAGCTCTCAGGAGACTGGAAGTAGGTAGCCCCTTTCTGCTGGCAGGCCATTCCAACTAGTTGAGGAAACCTGAAGTGGGTAGCTCCTTCCTGTAGCTGGTAGTCCCAATGTCTCTGTGACTCTGACTGAGTCCTGGGGTTCTTATGGTCTTAGAAGGGAGGAGTGTGTGCTGACAGGTCCATGAGTGGCCATGGGCAGGCCTGGAAAAACCACCATCCAACTGACCAAAGGGTCATCAATGAAGTCCTCACTCTGGGAGTCTTCCTTCACCTGGCAGCCTGGTGAACTGGCAGCCTGGCCCCCAGGCTTCAGGCTGTTCCCGGCTTAAAGGTGGGGTTTCACTGGGAACTTACCCCTTTCCACCCAGGAACCTGTCTACCTCCCACTATCAACATGCTATCCATGGCACCTAGGCTGTTTGTGCTGAGGGGTGCCTGCAGGCCCACACCAAGATGCCCTCAGTCCTCTCCCCATGGCCTTTCTCCTGCACTCGTTGGCACCTAAAGTCTGGAGGGGGCCAAGGTGGTAGTAGGGCTGTGTGTCAGTGCTACCCAGAGCACACACACACCTAGCCAGGTTGCATAACCTCCTGGTGCAGCCACAACTTTGCTCCACACCACAGTGGGCTCCAGGAGTGGGGAGAAGCCAGGGAGTGGGAGCAGGCACTTCTGAGTCTGCAGGGCAGGGGCTTCCTGGGCCCCTGAGAGTGCAGGGATGCCTAGGTCTGCAGCTGGTAGCTGCAGCTGTGTCCAAAAGCACCGGGCTCCCACCCTGTCAACTTGGTCGGGGGTGTGGCTCGTGCCTGTTCCAGTTTCTGCTGTCCCCGTGGAGCACATAATCCCACTGTGCCTCCCCTTCTGCAGCCAGCATCTTCACAGCAGCTGCTCCAGATGGGCTGTCACTACTATCACAACCACGAGGCCTCAGCTGAGACAGCTCCTTCTGTGGCCTATGTCAGTCCTGTCGCTGAAGTGAATAGTGAATGCTTGTTCTTAGCCTTCACTGTGCAGATTGTCACCCCATAAAACCTCACCTATTTCTCAGGACTGTTCTGCCCAGCAGGGCCTCCAGCTTGAAGTAGAGAAGGCAAGGCAGGGGCAGGATGTGCTCTATTACCCTTGAAATTTCATTCTAGAGCTGTGCAGTCCCATAGTTCTGCAATGACTGAAATGCTCTATAGTCCTTAAAGGCCACATGTGACTGACTATTGGGCATTTGAAATGTGGCTAGTGTAAGTGAGGAACTGCATTTTTTTTTTTTTAATGTGAATTACATTTAAATAGCCACATGTGGTTAGTGGCTACTTATTAAACAGCATGGCACAGTATTTGATAACAAAGAGACCTCTTGAAGGACATCTTCTGGATCAGTACCTATTCCAAAGAGGCGTAAACAAACCCCGCTACCAGCATTGCGCCGTCATCCATCCCCTGCCTTTGAAAAGGGAAAGAATTTGGAAGGATGAGAGCCTGTCCTCCTTTCTGAATATCCCCCTCTTCACCTCCTTTTTCCCATATTCCTCCCTTTCTCAAAGTCCTAAGACTTCTCAGGAAAAGCCTAGACCTTTATTTGAAGGGACAGAATTGAGAATATTTAGAACTTACTGCCAAAAGAACCAAGTAAACATGCCCCTGGAGCATGTATAAATAAAGCAGTTACAAATGGAAAGCAGAATATGAAGAATGGCACTTCACTCTGTTTGCTGCCATGACAAAAATACATATGCAATTAGGGAATGAATGTCTATTTTCCTAGATTAAGGAATTACAGTAAATTTTCTTAGATGTAGAAATGATACTGTGATTATATAAGACAAGTTTCTTATTTTGGGGGATGCATGCTAGAAGACTTAGGAATAAAATGCCATGATGAAATATGGTGTGTGTGTGTATGCACGCACATGTGCATACATGTAGGCATATGAGCACTTAAACACCAAGATCGATACCTGCATAATACACATATAGACACATAGATAAGATAAATTGATACATTGATGAATAGATAAATACATTGTTTAGATACATATATTGGCTACATACATACATGCATAGATTAGATGGTAGATACATAGATGTAAATAGATGATAGGGCAAACTGTCTATTGTCATTAAATATAAGAGTGGGCAAGGGGTGCTCATAGGGGAATCAGGATGGGCAATGGAACTTCTGCTAATAAAAACTATTTTTATTACTGCTGAGTGGAGGCCTCTTAAGGCCAGTGTGAGAAGTGGGTGGGTGTCACTTCACCAGCCCCTCCAATCAGGTGATGTGCTGGAGAGGCAGCAAGGCAGGGCCAGATAAGGTCCACACAGGAGGGAGCAATCACTGGAAGGAGGAAGGAGCCATAGTCTGCATGGGCAGGACAGTAAGGACATGGGCAGGATGGTATTAGATCCTCCCTAGGCCATCTCCTTCCCACTCCTGCCTCACTCCAAGCTTATAGCAGTGGGCAGCCAGGCCAGAGCAGGGCCTGAGAGCTACCAAGACTGGCCAGGGGCCAGTGGGAGGAAGAACGAGGAAGGCAAAGCAGTCCCGAGTCCAGGGAATTTGGCTGTGGGGGCAAGTGGCCTGCGGGGACAGAGAGGAAACTTACGTTTATTGCTCTCACCCTACCTCTCAAAGTCACTGAGGGAGAGAGGCTGAGACATCAGTTTCTCACCCTGCATATACACACTTGAATCCCAGTCTCACACCCTTTACCTGCTATGGCTGTCAGTGATACCATAGACTCAGGGGTTACTAGTCTCCCTAACTTTGTGGGCTATGCAAAGAATGAGGAAAGCTGTATTGAGGTTCCTTTGATGACCCCCACTGGAGATCCATGCCCTCTTGGAGGTTGAGTCAGTTGGCCCTCCCCATGTCCTGCAGTACTGAGGCCTGGCCTGAATTCTTACCCCAGCAGGGCTTGAGACAGGATTTAGGTGGGGTGTCACTCAGACACCTGTCTGGTGCTGTTGCCCAGCACAGCTGATAGCAGGAGGGACCCAGTAGTTCCGGGGCAGGCAGGGCTGCTGTGGGCACACTGCCAGGGGACTGCTAAAAAAAAAGCAAGAGAAGAACCTTAGCTGCCAGTGATGCCTCCTGTTTAGAATGCCAGGACCCTACGGCTGCCTGACACCCAGGTTGTATCATGCTCAACTCCAGAGAGCACCATTCACATAGTAGACTTTGGGGATAGTACTTTCTTGACATAGACACTGTGGGGCCCTGGGGAGCCAGAGATCCTGGCTCAGGCCAGAAATGGGAGAGGTCGTAAGCCCTTCAGTCTTCCCAGGGCCCAGACTCCTCTCTCCTCTCGATTACCTGTGCAGAGATGATTCCTGGGGCAACTGTTGGTGCAGTCAGCCCCTGGGAAGCACCTATAAAATGAGAATGAATCCACTCAGAAGGAGGAATTGGGGTTGGATGCAGAAGGAGCATGGTGAGAAGCAGGAAGGTTAAATGCAAGAAGGTTCTAGGAAAGTCAGCAACTCCTGACTGGGGTGAGTGAAGATGGATATTTTAAGCCAAAACTGCCCTCTTCACCAATACAGGGCCTTGGGAAACTGGAGAAGAATGATTAAATTCCAGTGATGGTACTGGGGACAGTGCAGCCTTAAGAGCAGGGACTATGTGTACCCAACATTTAGCACAGGGTTTGGCACTGGGAGATGCTGAGTAAATGTTGGATGGATGGGTGAATGGATGGGTGGGTGGATGCATAGATGAATGGAAAAATGGATGGGTGGATGCATGGATGCATGGATGGGTGGATGGATGCATGGGTGGATGCACAGGTGAATGGATGAATGAATGAATGGATGGATGAATGGATGCATGGGCAGATGCATGGATGAATGGGTGAACGGATGGATACCTGGATAGATAGATAGGTGGGTGGCTGGGTGATTGGCTGGCTGAATAAATGGATTCATGGGTGGATGGATGGATGTAGGGAAGGATGCATGGATAGATTGGTCAATAAATGGGTAGATGGGTGGGTGGGTGGATGGATGAATGAATGCATAGATGGACAGATGGATGGATGGATGAATGAATGGCTAGGTGGGTGGGTGGGTGACTGGATGGATGGATGGATGGGTGGATGGATGGATGGATGGATGGCTAGGTGAGTGGGTGACTGGCTGGCTGGAGGGAGGGAGGGATGACTGGCTGGCTGGATGGATGGATGGCTAGATGGATGGATGGATAGATGGATGAATAGATGGATGGATAAATGGATGGATAGATGGATGGATAAATGGATGGATAGAGGATGAATGGATGGATGGAGGGTAGGTGGGTGGGTAGGTGGGTGACTGGATGGATGGATGGATTGATACATGGATGAATAGATAAATGGATGGATGAATGGAGGATGGATGGATGGATGGATGGATGGGCAGGCAAATGGATGATGGTACAGAGCAATCACCTAGAAGCTGCATTTCCCACTTGAGCTTCTCTTGTCGGCGCCATTTGGCTCTTCTGTTGGAAAACCAGACCTGAGCAAGGACAAGGACAATGCAGCTGGCTGTACTTTATGTTGTCTGGCACCTGCTGATCTCACCACATGTTCCTTCCTGGCCTGAACTCACAATGTTGACCCTTCCTTGGGCCTGACATCCTCCCTCCCTGCCCTAGCTTCTTCTCTCTGGCCCCTTCCTCAACTCAAAGGTTTTTGTTGGGGAAGAGAGGAGAGCAGTCAGCAGAAGGTGAACAAGGAGGGTCTCGTCTCTGACTTTTGCTCCAAACAAGTTTGCGTCCACCTTCTCACCTCCCCTCTCCACCTCATGAAACCCAAAACCCTGGCTGGCATAGACTCTTCCTCCTTGTGGTTTGTGCACAGTGTTGCAGAGCTCACTCACCCTCACCGTGTCCTCAGGCAGAGAGGTGGCAGCAGCCAGCTTTCCACGAGCCACTGAATCAGGATACTGCCCACGCTGGAACTCTGCGGAGATAGAGGCTCACACAGTAAGGGCACCAGGAGAGGAGCAAGGCAGGGGTCTCCCCTCAGGCAACACTCCCCACCTGCTACAACCCCAAACTACCTTCCTCCTCAAGGCAGGGACACACAGCTTGCACCTCTCAGCCTTTGCCCACAGGCCTCAGGGCCACTGTCTCTGTGTCACACCAAGGACTCTCTGACCCTCCATCTCCCCCAGCCCAGCACCTTTCTCCAATGCCTCTGCTTGGCCTGGGGAGAAGATGGTCCGATTCCGGTGGCTGGTCCCTGGGTGGGGACCCCGGGGAGTCTCAGAGCCACTATGGGGAGTGGGTAGAGTTGGAGCTGAAACAACTTAAAAAAAAGACAACAGTTTGTTGTGGTTTGTGATGGTGATTCCTCTGGTCAGATGGGGTTCCTGAGTCCCTGGGGCTGCAGCCATGAGACACCATGCGTGGAACAGCAGAGCCAAGCTGCTGGGGCTTTCACAGTTACTTGGAGGTCACTGCAGGGTCACTTGGTGGAAAGGGTGCTCAATACCACAGTGGGGTGCACGCTTAATGTGCAGGGGTTTGGGGGGATCGACAGCAGGCTTGGTCCAGGTGTGTGTGAGCCCAACGAACATGAATGATGCTCTAAGAAGCTATGCACAGGGCAGAGGGAGAGTATGAGACTGAGTCCTGCCTCTTCTTCAATAGATCCTGTGAACCCAGGGACTAGGGAACCTGGGTTCTGTTCCAGGAACTGCCATCAACTAGTGACCTTGAGTAAGTCACTTCACTCTTCTGGACCTCAATTTTCTTCTGCCATGAGAGAATAAGACTCCCTGCCTGGTCCTCCTTATTGGGTTGTTGAGAGGGTGAACCAAGAAAGACAGAGAAAGGGCTTTGAGAAAGCTCTTTTAAGAAAAGGATGCAAAATGCTGGAGATTTGGTTCTGATTAGCCCTGGGGACAACTTCGAGACCCACCTGGTGACCTGAGCTGTGCCCACGGTAGTCCCTGGTCCTCCTGCAGTGCCCGCAGGACTCGGTTGATGGAGGAGACCTGGGAGTGTCGGGGTGTTGAGTGGAGAGATGGTGCTCAGACCAGGTTTGCACCCTGAGGACATTCCTCTTACTATCCTTTCTCCCCTTCTGTCTCCACCCACTCATTGTTCCCAAGGGCAGCCTCCTCTCTCTCTCTCTCCCTCTCTCTATGCTTTCTTATGCTTTCTCCTTCCCAATTCTCTTATTACCACTTTTCAAAAGAAAAACTTAAGGGTCAGAAGAGCCCAGGAGTCCTGTCACCAGCCTGGGATGCCCGCATTGCCAAATAAGAAATGCTCGTTGTCTCCCCAGAAAGCCTGTTTTCTAGCCCCAGTGTGGGGAGGGAAGAATACTTACACTGGGAGTCTTGTCCTGGGTACAAAGCCCCTCAGCACAAAGCTGGCGTTGGATCTCCCAGGCAAAGAGAGCCGGACACTCACCCTTCAGCTGGGCAATTCGAGCCACCACTGGGGGTGTAGCCAGCCGTGGCTTGCTTCCCCCAATGCCCTTGGGCTCCAAGACACCTGTGCGGTAGTAGCGCCCTAGGATCTTGCTCACACAGCCGTTAGATACCTGAGTCAGATGAGAAGCAGAGACAGGTGAGGCACAGTGGGCAGAAGGAGGGAAAGGGACAAGAGGAGGCTACAAGACAAAGCCAAGACTTACTGAACCAGACCACGGAGTTGGGAGTCCAGCCTCACCTTTGAGGGCCCGAAGCTCCCCTTTTCAACCTCCAAGAGGGTCTCCCAGGAAGTGACCCAAGTCCCAAAAGCCCTCCAAGCCCGCAACAGCACCAGGCTCTTGCTTTCAGAGGAGCCCCTTCTCCCTGCTTCCTGTCCCTATCACTGTGTGAAGGTGCTGGCTCATTACCTTCAGGCTCCGTGAGATGTCACAGGGTCGCATTCCACTGACTGCCAGCCGCACAATCTGCTGCCTGGTATCCAGAGGCAGGGGCCGGCCATTCACAAAGAGCCCCCCGAGCTGGTTCATGCTACTGATCCCTGGGCATAAGACAGAGGTAATCCACACATCACCTCTCCCACTGCCCTGCCCCGCTGCGGAAAGGATTACTCAGGCCCCTCCAGCTTGGCTTCACACCACAGAGAACGTCCTCTCCTGGGAGACCGCATTCTTGCTGTCCCCAGGCAATCAACACAAGTTACTTTCTTAAAGAGCTGGCTCACTGGTGAGCCTTTGTTCCTTGCCTGTACCCACAGACTCTCCTGATCTAAGGGAAGCAGGACAGGGCAGGAAGGGAGGGACTGGAAAAAGCTTCCCCAGAACACCAGCCAATGGCAGATGAAACGGTTGATGAAAACAAAGCCCTGAGGATTCCCCTGTCTCTGTCGTCCTCCCTGTCTTCCCACTTCCCCCAGGCTCCTCACCGTCCTGCTGCATGCTCCAGGCTGAGCCTCCTCACAGAAGGATGAGCCACCGCTGAGAAGCCTGGCAAGGGAAGTTCCTTCTAGGAGCTCCTTTTCCAGCTTGGGGCCCAGGTCTGCAATAACGGGGCGGGTTGGGGGTTACTTGGGTGAGGTCTTTCACTTGAAATGGTCTTGGGAGGTAGTGTCTTGTGATAGAAGATCAGGTTTCTAAAATTTGCCCGTGGGTTGGCTAAAATTAGAAAATTTGAATTTCTTTTATTTAAACCTTTATGTGATAAAAACTAAAACACTGCAGGTTGGCTGGAGACTGGATCTTTCTTGAAGTCCTAACAAGGGGCTTGGAGGATTGGAAGGATTCTCATTTCCTACACATTCATTACAAAAGGTTGGGGTGGTAGAAAGCGATGATGCTTTCAAATGCTCAAGCTTTCCCTTTTGCAAATGGGCAGCTGTTGTCTCCAACTATTCCTAAGCCTTCTCAGTCCTGGATGACACACCTGAGCCAAAGATTCTGGGGTCTCCAAGTTCAGGGGTCCGCCTTCACTATTAGACAGTCCTAGGTTAGGCTCTCCAAACTGCCAGCCAAATGCTGCACTTCAAAAGGGCTTGCTCCTGTGTTTTTTATATTCTCCAGGAAGCTCTGGGGAACCTGGGGCTCAGCTTTACCCCCCAGGCACTGAGGCTCTGGTCCTACATACTGGGCGTAGAGATGAACACACCTGAAGTGCCAGCTTCTCCTAAAAGGCATGTTCTTAGCATCTCTAACCTGCTGGGGTTGTTCATTCCTATTAACTCTGAAGAGTTCTAGATCTCACAGTGAAGCTTCAATGTCAGAGACCACCTTCTGGTATCAGACACTCATTCATTCAACTAATCCCTTTATCAAAGGCATATTGAAGGGAGGGGATCAGAAGCAGGAGAGGACTGTCTGCTGACCAACACAGAAACCATCATGAGCCCAAGAGAGTCTCTGAGCAGCAAGGGACACAGGTCCACAGGCCACCATACCTCTCCTACTTTCATCAGTAATTAAAGAGAGATGAAGATGCCTTCTTTCATGCCTGGAACTCTGGTAGAGCTGGAAGTCACTCCAAGGAACAGCTTATACGCAGAACTTTCTTGTAATAAGCATGCCATCTTGGCCCAGTTAATTCATCTTCAGTTATATGCTGAATAAGATATTAAGCATGAGCACATTGCTGGTTGTTCAGAATGAAGGCAGTAAACAGAAAAGGGTGAAGTCTTTGCTCTCCAATGGATCACAGAGCAGCTGGAGAAAGGAGACTAGCACCAGTGAAACAAAGAATTACAAAGAGTTTGGAATCCAGAGTCTACTTATTAAGTTCAATAGCTAAATTGACTTTTACTCACTTTTTTCTAGGTAGGTAGAGGCACAGACCCCTTCAAATTTTCATCTTTCCAAAAAGTCAGGCAGGAAGGCAGAGGTTTTCCAAAGAGAAAACTGAGGCACAGATTGGGATTGCCACAAGTCAGGGGCTGTCCAGAGAGTAAAACTCAAGGTTTAGAAGTCAGTTCCTCACCAGAAGCTACAATTTCTGGCTCCTAATCCTGGGCTCTCTTTCTCTGCTCCCATCCCTGCTTCATGTTTGTGTAATTGCCACAAAAACAATGGAGAGAGGGGAGTCAAACAGAGAATGTAAAGGACTGTGCCAAGACAGGATGAAAGAGCTCAAAATATCAGCCAAACCCTAAATCCTTGACAGAACTCAGTTCTCCTAAGTGACCAGAATACAAAGAAGCAGTGGGGATGTAGGTTCAGTATCCAAACCTAAACGATCTCCAAACCTAAATCATTACGCCCCAACTCACAAACAGAAACCCCGTTCTCAATAGCCACACCACACATTCCCAACATGCATATTAACATGTCTGAAAAAATAACTGGTGCTTGCAAGACAGAAAAACAGGAAAGGGGGTGGAAAGGGCAGGAGGGTGGTAGCTGCAAAGACAGAATGGGAGAGAAGTTGGGTTTGGCCACACAGAGGCATGGAGACAGCATGAGAGGCAGGGCAGACAATGAGCCTGCAGCTGGGCTACCTGTGTGGAGGAAATGAGGTGGGAGCTTCAGTGGGAGGTCTCAGCTTCTGAGACCCGTGCAGACTCCAGGGGTGGTGATGGTCTGGTCTTAGAAACAGCCTCCACTCTGCTCCTGCTTCAGTCCTGCCAGGGGGTCCAGAGCTACAGAGAGCCCGAGCTCAAGAGCAGAGGGCAGCCTTCTGGGAGTAGCCAATGATGTCACAGGCCATGAGCAGAGGAGAGAGGAGGAGGGAGGTGTGCATGGGCTGACAGACACCAGCCCTGAGGCAGGGCAAACCACAGCCAATGACCCACTGTGTCCTTCCATGAGGAATCCTCAGAGCCCACTTTGAGTCCACCTACTACCCTGAAGAAGAGAGAGAGCCATTCTCATGCAGGAAAAAGTGCACCCACACAAGGACCAGTACTCCTGAAGGATCCGCTGAGCATGGAAGATGGGGAACTTCAGGCTGTGTCCTGAAGGCTTTGAGTGCACAGAAGCAAAAAGATGCCTTCCCAAACCACCAACACAGCTTCCCAGCCACAAGGCACATGCCTGGGCTTTGGGGTCAACTCATGAGTCGTGTGTGTTACTGTAAGAGAGAAATGAATATACAGACTGCTGCCTAAATACTGACTGAATTGGCTCCTAGCACTCTAAGACAATGAGAGTGAATGGAGAATAGTGTGTGTCCCCTAGCACCAGCTGTCCCCATAGAGTGTCCTCACCAATTCTCCAATGGACTCCTTGACTAAGGTGACACCAAGAGTGAAATCTTGCCTGGTGTCTTGCCTGGAGGATCTTGGACTTCAGAACACTGACAGTGGTAGTGGTGGTGGAAATGAGCCTCAGGATACTCAGAGACGCACGTGGGTGTTTATAAGGAGGCTTGCAGCAGGATTTTCCTCCTTCCATCTTTAGATGTTATCAGGGATTTGATGCTTTTAGACTCTGAGTTAGTAATGGCACTGCTGTTACCACAAGACACTACAGGTTATCTGGGTCACTGGTGAGGCAAGAAGCATCAGTAGCTGGCCAGGTGGTAGTGGGATGCTGGAAGTGAAACGCAGCCCCTAGTGCATGGAAGCTTCGTTGCCAGCCATCAGGGTCTTGGGCAGATCCCTGGGGTGTGAAGGTGCTAACATGGAAAACTCTTTGGGTCCATTCCACACCTCAGAGTCTGTGTGAAGCCATTGCCAAAGTCAGACGGGAAGTAGGCAGGGTGTAGGGCAATAAAACTAGACCCAGAAATCAGAGAATGGAAGACTGTATTTCATTGTAAATGCTTTGAGGTTTTGGGGTGAAAATGGTTGTTTTGAGTTCAGCTTGATCCTAGGCTCAGGAAATCTTGCTCTCAAAGGCCAAATGTCTCACATAAGTGGGTTTTCCCTTTACCCTGACACTTACTCTCTTCCTCTTCCACCCTCCTCCAGCATCCTCAGGTTGATCTTGGGGTACAGGGGAGACTGACTGCAGAGGGTGATTTCAGGACCTCAGGCAGGACAGCATTTGCCCAAGTGCCCTTACAGTCATTCCATCCCAGGGCAGCTGGGGACTGCTGGTCACTCTACTTAGCCATGCCTGGGTGGGAGGAAGTCCCCAGCAAGGCCTGTGGCAGCCCTGCTCTTAGTCCCCCCACCCCTGCCTCATCCCTCCGGGCTAGATGTGCCCCTGCATCTAGGGGCTCAAGACTCATGTCCTGACCAGCTATTCCTATAGACAGCTGCATGAGGGTGGAGATAGGGGTATCAGGGGGAGCAGGGACAAGCCCTGGCAGATGGTGGTGGCAGCGATTTACCCCATAAACTACCCTCTCCCTCCGCCTTTATGACGCCCTCTTGGGTCTGAACAAACAGAGGCTTTCGACCCAGAGGTGATGGGGGAGGGAAAAGTGGTAAAGGGCCCTGGCAGGGGGGCCTAGCCAGCCCAAAGGCTCTGCCACTCAGCCCTCTGCCCAGCGCACTAGACTGTTTGAGGAGCAAATATCTGCCTTCACTGTCTGACTCTCTCAACCACCCCCACCGGGTTTGGGGCTAATTGTCCCTCATTAGCTGGGCCCAGGCCCCGGGCTGCCGCCAGCCCCCGCCATCTGCTCACAATTATACATTAACCCAAAGGTCTTGCCACCCGCCAACAGGCTGTGCGCCCCTCTCCGAGGCCAGCCATGGCCATTCCAGCTTGTCCCTCACCCTGATGTAGAGCCCTGATCGCTGGCTTCTTTTGTCCTTAGGACTCCCTGGTAGAAAGGCCCGTGTCTGTAGGGAGTCTTGTCCTCAGGAGAGGCGGCTGGAGTTCTCCTGCCTTCCCCAAGGGACCAGAGGGCGAGCCAAGCCCGTGCGTAAAGCTGGAGAGGACTGGGCGCGGCCAGCGCAAAGACACGCTGGCGCTGGTCTGACACCTCGTCTCGGGCTCTTGGCACCTGCTGTGGGAGTTGACACCAGCTCTAGGCTATTTCCAATCCTCTGGTGCATTTTCGTAGGCTGTGGGATCCTGGGCCCCTTCTTCTCTTTCTCAGGAAAGCCCCATCTCCTGCCAGCCCGCAGCTTTCCAGAGCGCACGCGCCACACGTCCAAAACCGCTCCGGCTGCCTGTGCCTCCCACTTTAAAGTCAAAGTGATTTCCTTGCTACAAAAACACGGGAGGTCTTCGAGTTCCCTGAAAATTCTGAACTTGAGACCCTCACTCTAAAGTCGCGCCACACCCCAAAAGCTTTAGGCAGTTACCCTACTCTCCCAGCCCAGCCCCTCTTCTAACACCAGCACTCTCTCCCTGCAATCTCCTGCTCGGCTTCTGGGAGGCTGGCACCCGGCACCCTCCCTCTGAACGCCCCAGGAAGGGAGGAAGGCGCACACCCTCCCTATGGTGACTTTGAACCGCGGGCACAGAAGGGCCCTCCCTTTTCCCCTCTTTTTCACCATGAGCTTCTAACCTCTGAGCTCAATTTTGCCTCTTACGTCTCTCAGGACTAGAGTAGATGTGGCAGGATGTTGAGTCTGCACTTTCCCAGACTAACTCCCAACGGAGCCGCGGTGTTCAGGGGCTAGAGCT